GTTACTGTCACCTCTAATCTATAATTGCAAATTAGAGTCAAGTTCTTTGTGCTCAACGAAAACGTTGCAAAACATTTACATTTACCTTTGGATTCCTGCTACGTCACCCAGCCGTGACATGATCTCTACGCCACGTAAGTTAACTCAGCACAAATGAGTGATCTGAATAAACGACATGCCAAAGGTAGAATTGGCGATCGGAAGTATTGTAGTCACAATTGAACACGAGCGAAGCGACACTCGCCTCGAATATCGAGATTTACCGGTACTTCAGTATTACTTACGATACCTTTTGAGTTGTTTTTATCCCAAAATCCATCTTCAGGATCTTTGAAATCGTTTTCAATTTATTCTATACCAGAATCTCCGCCATTTCGAAGAGAATTTACTTGATCGCGGTGTGTTTATTCGACCCCCAGCAAACTTTCGGCAATCCTTTGCGTCCTTTTGGGTAATCCTTTGCGAGCCGTGTTCTCAAAACTCGAAAATTTTTCTGCTACGGCGAAACTTTTCTCCCTCTACGCGGGGACCTCTAGGGTGCCTCCTCGGGTTTTGACCGTCTGGGCCAAAACCCTGCGGGGGCAATGATGGGAGTTGGCGGGAAGCGCGCGCGCGAGAGACATGCGCGTATTTCCACACCACACGCGTTTCCTCCCACACACGCACCCCACCAACTCGCGACTATCTATTGCAATTGCTGTGCAAGGTATTGACTTTGGTGTTGTAATCATTCAACAGGCTCTGGAAGCAATCGACGAAGTGGGCGACCTCCTAAAAGTCAAGTATTCACGAAGAAAGATAGATGCAAGGGAATGAAAGCAGCGACAACTCTCTAAAGAACGAACTATCAATCTGGAAAGATTGCCTGTTCTTCCAGATTAAAAAAAAAAACAATATTACTGTGATTCTAAGTTCTTGCACGAAATGGCTTGGTGTAACGAACCCCTACAGCATCGTTACATTGTGAAACTTAATATTTTTCACCTCAAAGAAGCAAGATGGGAGATATTCATTTGAACTTACCTAACATTTCGCAGCATTAGGCAAGAGAGGATGAAGGATGAGAAAGTTAATCCACCATATAAGCCTTGTCCGAAAGGTAATCCCTCTTAAGTTATTTTTAGACATGGTACCCAGCTCTTCCGTGGATAATCTTACCATGCGCGTTGCATGGATGTTTTCGTGGAGGATGAAAATGCGTGTAAGGCCACTTGAGCTGTTCACGTGACCAGAGTCCGCGTTACAAGATTGGCTGTTTCTGGACTCTCCTGGGTTTCCGAAACCGGACAAGGTCTAAAAATACCTTGAGAAGGATGACCATGCGAATAAAGCGTATAGGAGGGCTAACTCTGTCACTCTTCATGATCTCTTGCGTTAGGCTAGCAATTGCAGTGATTACTCTTGAGGATACCTTGTTAGGGAAAGTATAACGGCTTTTAATACTGCAATGCGGCAATTTTAAGTAGTTAAGGAGATAATTTACCGGACTCCAAGGTGTAAAGGTATGTACAATATATATCTATAGAGCCTGGGATGTTAAGTCAATACGGGCCTTGAGGGGTGTTAACGGAGAAAGTCTAAAAAGATAGGGTTTGTAATTTCAAGTTGCAGTAAAAAAAAAAAAAAATTTCTGTACTTTTCGGCTGGTTCTGAAGCATTTTGGTTAAGAGATGTTAAAATTATTCTTGATGTTGAGGAGACATCAATTTTGGCATACACAGTAACGGTGTGATGTAACAAAAGTTATTATTAAGTTCTGGAAGAAATCAACCAGTCGAAATTTTCGCGAAACTCAATTTCGCAATTTTGGAAGGTCAATATTTGGAGGCATTTAATTTATTGCGATTTTGGATAATTCGTTGAATATAAGTAAGCCACGATCTTTTTTCGGCATCAAATTTTCGCGATTTCGAGAACTACGCAGAAACCTCAAAATTAGACGCTGCAAAAATCGCGAGAATGAGCTTGATATATTTAATTGATAGCTTCAATTGTGATGTTGTTTAAGGCTGTAACTTCGTAAAAACACAGTAAAAGAAAGCAATAAAAACATTGGTTTGGCCTAACCAGGCAGTATTGTGAGGTTCGAAGAGCGACTAATGGAGAATTTTTACGTTCAGTATCAGCTTGAAAACTCAAAGAACAGGTCCGGGTTGTTCGAAAGGTGGATAACGCTATCCACCGAATAAATCACTATCCAGCAGATGGCGTGGTTTGTTTTTTTAACACTTATCGACAGGAGAGCGATTTATTCGGCGGATAGCGTTATCCAGCCGTCGACCAAGTGGGCCTAGAACAATAGAATACAACAGTCTTGTCAACGTGTTCGTGTACTGTGTAAGATCTTTGACTTCTCTTTTGCTGGTTCTTTTCTTTCCCGGCTGGAGGGACCGATGACGTTGCTTTACACAAGAAGATCCGCACTTCAGGTGCTGTTTAGCCTTAATGTCCAGTTTAAAACCACTTGCTACCTGGATGCACTAATCTCGCCTCGCAGATTTGATCTCATAAGCTGCGGGAAAAGAGAAAAGCAATGTTCTTACTGGAAAGTACACTATATACAATATTGGTTTTTATGGGCAAAAGCCGAAAGAAAATACACGAGCTGATTGGTTTAAAATCGTATTTCTATATATAACTAGTTGGAAACACAGAACTAGCATGAGCTGTTGACGTGATGATGACGAGGGCAAAGAGAATTTACATTTTGATGATCAAAGTAGACAAGTTGTTTTCGTTTTTTTCGTCGCAGTATTTCGAGTTATAGAAACGCAAGTGGCCGTTTGGGAGAACGAGAAATGCTGTGGCAACACGAGCCGACGAGGGAACATGTTTTCTATTTCCTAATTATTACCTTGCGTTCAAAAGAAAAAAAAGTTACCATGCAATGATGGAACCGTCAATATTTAGGCATAGGTGCAAAAAGAAAATAAAATGCCTAACAAAACTGCTCTACACAAAACACCTGAGATTGTACAGAGCGTCCGGAAATCCCCTGAACTTGCGTTTGTTTTCAGATAGCGTACTTCGAAACGGAACGTAAAGCTTACCATTTTCCTGTCTCCTTGTGTCAGTGCTTCTTCCCCCATGACGAACGAAAGTTTAGCTAACGCAGACTCCGCTGTCATGTCAATTATTGGACAACGTTGAGCAAAATATCGGCATTTGTCAGTGTCTCGTAGATCAATTGTTTGCCGAGGCCCACTTATTTCTTGACTGGCTCCGTAATTGACGTACATTGTGGCAAACGTTCAGAGGGAAGAAAGAAATGCATGGAATGATAATAGGTTTTACTCACCTGGATTAGTTTCGGCTCGAGTATGGTTCTCGGGCGTGTTTGTTTTTAGTCTGCAAGGTGCTTAGCGCCAAAAATTGAGACCTCTGGAGGAAGTCGGAGTGGGGGCCAGCATTAGCCGGCTGCTTTCTCTACGCATTTTCACACTCGCACAATCAAATCGTCGCTGCTGATTGAAAACACACGGGTTTTAGGGGACGAGATTTGTTCAGTGAAGTCACAGCATGTGCTATATAGTGATTCAGGCTGGAAAACTACCAATAAAATTGATACGAAACCCGGGGGGGTGGATTACTAGTGAGGATATTGATGACGTCATTTCCCTCTTTTTCACAGTGTTTCTGCAAACAGTCAGTCTGTATTGAATAAAAAGAAAATTACGCGATGGCTTTGAGATGTGAATTTTCAGCTTTTTCGCGTTAAAAACAATACTTAAGGTCATTCCCCTGAAATAAAACTGTCGATAGATTTTTGTTCAAACTTTGTCCACTGAATATTTATCAAATAAGAACTTTAATTGTAAAATAAAAATGGGGGGGGGGTGCCCATGCTCGTTAAGGAGCAGTGAGACATTGAAAATGTCCCATTTTAGAATTATTTAATGCCTATTGCAAGAACGTATTCCAAGTTATTGTAAAATCTTTGTGAGCCCAGACTCATGAAAACACGCCTCAAACTACAGTTAATACTTGTGTCGAACACAAATAAACTTTTTAAGTTTGACTTTGACCGACAGCTGAATCCTTGTTAAAATATTGGAACCAAATTGCTTGCCACAGCTATCAAACTGCAAATAGAAAAGACTACAGTGCAGTAGTCAATAGAGCGATCATTTTATTTACTCAACACCCGCACTATCTGTGCTATTTTTCTCTATAATTGAACGCATTGTATTGATGGTTTTAATCTTTTATTACAAAGATATGTTAGAAAAGGTAATGATGCAAAGAACCCAGCAATTCTCAGCTTTTTCGTTGTTATCGAAAGAACCCAGTTAAATGCAGCGCATCCGTAGTAAAAAAATTGCGATTAAATGAAAAATTGCTTTCTCGGAAATACGTGTTTTTCTCGAGAACCACTCATTAGAATTTCACGAAATTTGGCACGAAAATACTTCAAGAAATAAGTAACTGGAGTGTTGAAGAAAAAATTGAACTTTAAAAAAGGAAATTCTAGATATTCCAGTGAACCTTCAACAAGTGATAATTAAAGATCTTTCCGTAAAATTATTATCCAAATGGTGTTAACTTGTGAGTATCGTTACAAGCTTGCTGCATGCAAATTATAAAGAAAATCTAATGACTAGATTTTCTACAAATAAACTAAAACCGATTTTAAAGGCCTGTTTATATTTATTCATGTTGCCGTTTTTGGTGACCGAGGGATCAAGGGTTTTAGAGAAAATGGTGAATGAAACACTGGCATCAAAAACTGTGTTCAGCCACCTTAACGCACTCGCTGCGCTCGTTCGTAAAATATTGTTTGTGCTACTCGAAAGTAAAATTCATATCTTCGCGCCGCCGTGCAATATCCTATACATGTAACCTGGTGATGTGTTGACCAAAACATTTTCACCACCAGAGGTTAATGTAGAAAGTGATGCGAAGCCACTGTTACGGAAGGCTAAGACAAAACAAAGCCTTAATGATGAAAGCAATGGGCCACCCATTTCGCAAACTTGCATATTATTCTCTAAATCTCACATCTAAGAAAAAATTGATTTCGAATGAGAACCCCACGCCTCTCGAATATGAAGCTACAATCAGGGACAAAAGTATCGAGACATTTTTGCAAATCAAACGTTTTCGAACCGAGATCCGTACTATCGATGATAAAAGAAACACCTTTTTCGTCAATAGGCACTCCCGCCCCCGCCCCACCCCCGATGTTGAAACAGGTTACAAGGTGGCTACAACTTAATTTGGAAAGGGGGGAGTGGAGCGAAATATGACGAGTGTAGGTAGGACAAATTACAAAAATTACAAAAAGTTTGTTTTCAGACAGTGTCTCAACAAATGCTTTTGTCCCTGTTTGTAGCAATGATATCGCTCTGTAACTATAACAGGGTTAAATTCGTTCGTGCTCGCCTCGCCTGAGCCGCAGAACGGTCGCGTGCTTGACAAGGCACCCACTGAACAGAGTCTCGCAACATCCTTGCGCAATGTATTAGCATACCTCCAAAGAAAAACAGAAACGTTGTTTAGTTTCGAGAAATAAATCCGATTTGCATGACGCTTTGCACAAGCTTTGAGAGTCAAAATTTGCGCCTAAAATCGAACAAAACATTTGCCTGAATAATATCGAGCACCAGACATAATTTAACTGTATTTACTAGTAAATTTGCACTTCTTCAAAACATTCACCTCGCTATATCTAAAATATTCTGACAGCTCAGATAACATAACAATTCTTCAACAGGTGCTAACTTGTAAAACAAAACATGCTGACAATGAGCTCTGATGCTGAATGGAGAGTAGTGAATGAAGTTCTTGACACTTGTCACTTTTGTGTGGTTGACTAAGGGCCGGGCAGGCTTTCCCTCCCAACCGGGNGGGGGGGGGGGGAAGGAAACTTGCTTACAAAAATGAAACTGAGCAAAATCTAAAATGGTCACCGTTTTAGTTATGCAGTACCTTTAGGTGGGATGTTGAGCAAAAAGAGATTGCCAGTCACGGTTAATTTGCTGTTTAAAAGTGAAAATGAATCTGAGTCACGCTCGCAAATGGCGATTCTAGACCTTTCAAGGGTTCTTTTCCAAATTCCTGACAAGCATCCCCACATTTGTATTGCGATCATACTCTCTCCCCCCCTCCCCCCCCTGGAAGGGATGCCTGTCCATTGCGGGGTTAACCCCAGCATTAAATTTACCGGTACCCATTTATACACCTGGGTAGAGAGAGGCACCGTGAGANCCCCCCCCCTCTTTCTACGGGTTGTATTCGTCACGCACGAGTTTGTAGATTTCTTTTCGCCAAGCAAATATGGTGTTCGGCTCGTACGCGACGAGAAGAAGCCAGTATTCCAGGAAGAATGGCTTCCACAAGGGATCGAACGGGTTCACGAGCCAAGAGAGAAACTACGCTGTTGAAATGCTGGATGAATTTGAGGAGATACCTCTTTATTGCATCGTGATGACCTACATGTCTCTCTTCTTTCTGATAATTTTCGGCTATATGCGCGAATTCATGCGTCAATATGGCTTAGAAAAATCCAAGGCAGTCAGAGAAACAGGCAACGAGGTAGGAAAATAACTTCCACAGTAGGTTGCACTAAGACTCAAAATAAAAGAGGCTGGCGCTGTCAATTTAAGAGCTTCATAGCCAAAACAGTGAGTGAAATCGTCTTTACACAGCTTCACAAAATGACGCCACCCTCGATTGCGTAAAGAATAGCTGAAACTCTAAACTCATCCGGGTTTGTTTTTTGGTACAGGAAACAAAGAGAAGAAAAATGCGTAAATGCTTTCTTTGGTGGCGTGATCTTCGTAATCAGCTGATCTTTGTTAGAATTGCAAGTGTTTATGCGAGCCTTGTGCATAATTAATGCAGAATACATTTTAGAATTTTAGAATTTAATTTTAGAATTGCCATTTAGAATTTCAGCTGAACGCTCAGACTTGCTTGATCAACTGTATTTACAATTTTCATGTCTGGTAACTTTTAAGCGGATCGTCACAATTTCCTTGTTTTTCCATCCTTTTACTTCGTATTACGGATTTCTTCAGCTAATTTGTATTTAGATAGCGCTCAAAATGGGTCAACATGGAGCCAGAAACTTCTTTTGTCGCTCCAACCTCGTTCCCAGGGTCTTTTCCACGGAAACGACCCTAGGAACGAGCTTGTGGTCGCTCGAGGCAATTTTTCCTGCCTGCAGGTGATCATGCAGTTTGTTGGGACAAAAGTTGCAAGAACAATTTTCTATTGAAAACGCCGGCTTTCCGTTTGTGTGGACGAAAAACATTTTGAAAACGATGCTTTTCGAAAACGATGACGTTACGATAACCATAATATTCCCTGCCCGAGTTTTCCTCAAATACAAATCCAAAATGACCGTGATTAATTGTTGCATTTTTAAATTCCTTCGGCGTAGAGTGGACGGAAAACATTTGATGCGTTTTCAGAGTGAAACTTCCGTTGTCAAATTACTCCGGCGTAGTCTGGATGGGGCCTTTACTACGATTATCAGTTGAGTAAGGCGGGGCGAAAGTTTGGTGACCAAGTTTTAACGTAAAAATCGCGTTGTTGTCACGAGCAACTGGCTCCGTATCCATTGGCAACTTGTCAGCCTTTGACGTCAATTGGCAGCAAAGCGCGCGAAATTGTAGGCGACGCGACAGGCGACAAACGGCTGTTGATATTGCTACCAACGAAAACGAGGTAAGTTGCCCGTGACAACACCATAATTTTGAGGCCAAAACTTCGTAACCAAACTTCCCTCGTGCCTTACTCAACTGATAATCGTAGTAAAATCGTTTCGAGACATGTTCCTTTCTGAGGGTGTGTATAAAATACATAAAGCAATAACTGTTTTTCAACTTGTCTGGCAACGAAACAGAGTGGCAAGTTTGATGAAACACTTCTTATCTAGTGTTACAATTCCTTTATGAGCAAATAATGAAGCGAAAAAAATCCTTTCTCCAACTGCGGATCTAGGGGAGGGGCCCGGGGGACCTGTTTTCCCCCCCTTATTTTGGGTGTAAAAAGAAGAAATCACAGAAGGTAGAAAAGCCGGCAGGGCAAGCAAAACAAAACCGCCCGTCCCCCTCCCACCGTTAGCTCAAGGTCTGGATCCGCCGCTGTTCTCTACTCTTTCTCTTTCACAACAACTCAACGCAGCAAGAGGAATATAATGGCAGACTTGACTTGTAATATCTTCTTGTTCGTTTAATTTTGAATTCCCGTGGCAGTCATCAGTAGAGAACTGGACTGACCACAAATAATATCATCTGGGGTATGCAGTTCATTTTCCTGCACACAGTGTACCTTCTGATTGACGCGGAGTTTGCTCTTTCCTTAAAATTAACTGATGTTTAACGAGCACACGATAAGCTACGGCAAAACTAAACGGATAAATTGATGTCAGTTTTATATGCCGAGAAATGTGAATGACAATACTCTATTCAAGTACTACGATTATCAGTTGAGTAAGGCACGAGGGAAGTTTGGTTATGAAGTTTCTGGCCTTAAAATATGGTGTTGTCACGGGCAACTTACCTCGTTTCCGTTGGTAACATCAACAGCCGTCGGTCGCCTGTCGCGTCGCGTACAATTTCGCGCGCTTTGCTGCCAATGACGTCAAAGGTCGACAAGTTGCCAATGGATACGGAGCCAGTTGCTCGTGACAACAACACGATTTTTACGTTAAAATTGGTGACCAAACTTTCGTCCCGCTTCACTCAACTGATAATCGTAGTATCTGAGTTTGAACTTTTCCGAAAGAGGTTTCAAACTTGAAATTTGTCGCCTGAAGAAAACAATAATCTCATTTTTCCTTTCTTGAGTTTCCCCCTACTTTCGACGATTTTACCCCTCCGTTCGCTTCAGTTTTAGACGCACTTATCTAAAATACGACGATAAACACAAGTGTACCGTCAATATACTATAAGGAGGTATCTAAAACAAGTTTTAGTTAAGGCAATTCAACTTTTTCTGATCGTGAAATACCTGGAGCAACACTTTTTGCTCAAACCTGAGGGATTTATTTTGACATTTCAGGGCTTCGTACCACTCTACTCTGACTTTGAGAGTTTCTACAAGAGGAATATTTACAATCGTGTTAGAGACTGTGTCAACAGACCCATCTGTAGCGTACCTGGTGGACAGATCGATCTAGTGGACAGGCAGTCTCATGACTGGAACTGGACTTTCGGGTATGTGAGGTTCCCCTTAGCCTGCATGGCTTGGCGGTTTAAGAAATTTGAGCGCGCTAACAAAGCGGCAAAGCCGCGAAAACGAGCGGCGAAGGCTTCGCCGCTTCGTGCAGGTGCTCGCGCGTTTTAGACCGCTAAGCTAGGCAGGCTAGTTTCTCCTTGAATGTAAGGTTTGGAGCTTGAGAAGTAAATATAAGGAAACGCCTTCGCCATGGCTGATTCAAACTCTATGGGACTGTGGGGCAATGGAAGGCAGTTTTTCAAGCTTATCTTCTTCAATTATAAACCATCCTTGTTTCCTACCTTAGGAAATTATTCGTTTTGAGGTTTTCGTCATTTTGAACGTAATTTTGTACATCAGTGATAAGAGGACTTACATGAAATGGCAGCCTTCAAATCCTTCGAATGACGTCAGGCTTTGAGATGTTGTGAGGCGTTAGGGGGAGGGAGGCTTTAATTTATCCCTTTGCCGAGTCCATGACTCATTCATTTGGCTGTCACCGCTCCACAGTAAAATAGAAAGTGATCGTAGTCGCCATGGCAAAGTTTGCTATTTACCAGTTGTCATTTATCCAATTTCTTGCAAACTTGATAAAGTTGTTTGCACTTTAGGAACTCATTTATTTCCAGCGCTTTTTTAATCCTTCAATGCGTTCCCAAGAGCCTTTCCTTTTTCTTATTGGCTATAAATTACTGACATCCTTTCTGTTCTAACTTCTTTTGAGTATACTACAGATCAAATATTTTTGCAGATATCCAGGAACGACAACAAAGGTCGTGAATCTTGCTTCGTACAACTACCTTGGGTTCGCTGAGAATTCTGGATCATGTACGGAATCCGCTGAACAGGCGGTCCGTGAGTACGGCATCGCGGGGTGCAGCTCAAGACGCGAATATGGTGAGTGAACGATTCAAGCGGATAGTGGAGGTGCTATTTGTAAGGGATGTTGTCTGATTTTTCAACAAATTTTTTGAAATGAATAATTTTCTGAGACTCATTCTAACACGGTTAATCGATCATCAGGGCTTGGTTGTTCAAAGCACGTCAAAGTTAAAATAGGCTCAGGGTAAATTTTGATTTCACTGTTGTATTACTAACGTTTCACTGGCGTTTTCGATCTATAGTTTTGTTGGTCAGTTTAGCCTAAGGCTAGTTCAAACTCCTCTGACAAGAATCTACAAATTGAAAAAGACCTTTATTAAAACCTCGAGTAACTTTTAATCTTCAACCAGCTTTAAGGGGAGCAAGAGAAAAAGTAACAAAGAGACTTAATTTGAAGTTACGCATTCTGTTAAACTGTTTGTAGCTGGGCCATGGTCGTTTGAGAAGAGACCTTGTTGGATTAAAACCGGGGAGTCTGACAACTTGTCTGAGAATTGGATGTCATTGATTTTGCATAATGTTTCGGGGCAAGACACTTAACTCTAACTACACCCTGTTCTTGGAACGATTGAAATGGAGGATCTCGATGACGGTGCTGGAATCTCAGATATCAGTTAAAGTTTTCTGCTATTTCTCAGCTAACAGTTAAAAATTCTGCTCATTTCTCGATCTGCTGTCTGTGAATTTTTTTCAGGTCTTCCAAATACCCTGATTCTCCGTTCCCTTTGGAATACCAATTATACAGTCATAGGCGTACGGGCACCTTCGGACTGGGGGTGGGGGTGGGGGCAGTGGCCTTCTTGCCAGAAAAAATTACGCAATGCTCGAATGCGTGAGTGTTGAAATCGGGATGCAAACTCACTCAATTTCATGAACAAAAACGTTCACAATTCTCACATCTAATGAAACTGGTATGTTTCCAAACATAGTTACATTGAGAGCTTGCATACTCAATGACCTCCATTAACAGGTTCAATTTTTGTTAATTTTTGCCCGAAAAATTACATAATTTCCGTAGGTGGGTGGAGGAGGGGAGGGGTGGGGGCTGCAGTCCGTCTCCCCGCCTCCCACCTCGTACGCATGTATATAGCTCAGGAAAAAAAGCTATTGACATCACCGACCCAGTCCACAACTAAATGGAAACAGATCCGATACCTCTATCGTATTGATAACATTTCTTCTTTCCTCTTTCCAGGTACCCTCGCTATTCACGACGAACTAGAAGCCCTTGTCGCTAGGTTTGTTGGTAAACCTGCTGCTATGGTGTTTGGTATGGGGTTCGCCACCAACTCTGCAAATATCCCCACTCTGGTGGGCAAGGGAGATTTGATAATTAGCGACGAACTCAACCACACATCACTCGTGTTAGGAGCAAGATTATCAGGAGCAAAGATCAAAGTATTCAACCACAATGGTTAGGTTGGCAGCGCAAGCGCGAGGGGTTAGGGAAGTACGGGAGAGGGGTTGTCCGTGTTATTGTTTTTCCTAATCCTTATTCAAGGAGACTTAACTGTGACCGGCACCGACCCATATTAAAACAGGGTCTGTAGAGATCCGAGCACTGCTGTTTCCAAAAACCAAACAAACAAACAAGTAAAACAAATGGGCGGGACTCTAGAGTCTTGTGAGACCGGGAGCTGAGAATAACAGAAACGAGAAATGAGATACTTGACTGAGAATGCGAGACTATGTTGACGTTCTGCAAGTCAAACGATCGAAATTTATCTTCGACTGTCATCAAAAGTTGAGCTCGACAAAAGCGCATAAGAGCGCGCGTTATCTCTCGACGTTCCTTCCTTTTAGCGTACACTCTTGTAAGTTGCCCACACAACACATCTGTATCATAAATATGTATCGTAACATTCTAGATATGAAGAGTTTGGAGAACATGCTACGAGAATCCGTTGTACAGGGACAGCCAAGGACACACAGAGCCTGGAAGAAGATTCTCATCATTGTTGAAGGTGTTTATAGGTGAGTGAGTGACGCTGCGCGGGCGAACTCCTCCCGAGATAACGAAAAAGCCCCGTGACGCGACGAATTTTCCGATGTAACAAACCTTCAGGCCTACAAACTTCTCGATATATAGTTATCTTTAGACCGAACAAATCTCCCCGTCTAAGGAATCTTCTTACAGATCATACACCGGGGCTTCAATTAAGTCATTTGTAAGGACACTGCTTGGCTACCACGACTTGGACATACCACGAATGAACGCTAAAATAACAGATACCGACCAAATAATTTACTGAAACGTTGTCCGAGTCAAAATAGGCGTGATTTGGGTTCAATTAAAACGATTTCAAGCTCTACAACTAAGTACGTTCTTTTTCAGTATGGAGGGCTCTTTAGCGAAGCTCCCAGAGATTGTGGCCCTTAAAAAGAAGTACAAAGCATACATATACCTAGATGAGGCCCACAGTATTGGTGCCATGGGCCCCAATGGAAGGGGCGTTACAGATTACTTTGGTGTGAACCCCGCAGATATTGATATCATGATGGGGACATTTACCAAGAGTTTTGGTGCCGCAGGGGGATATATCGCTGCTTCAGAGGTTAAAACGAGCCTTCTAATGATTAAAAAAAGTAATTTACGAAATAAGAGAAAAAAAGAACAATTCATATTTAGAAAGTACTAAGTAATAAATAGCTGTCAGTAGTGTCAGCTGAATCGTCATACACTAGGCTTTCACCCTCAGACTTGAATGATAGAAGCACTGTGTTCAATAAACAGTACCACATGGATGTACTAGCCAGTAGCTTTCAACTCAATGGTTATACAGTAGGGTTTCATCCACAGACTTAAAAGTTGTTCAGCATAATAAACAGTACCACATGGATGTACTGGCCAGTAGCTTTCAAATGAATGGTTACACACTAAGGTTTCATCGACAGACTTAAAGTTGTACAGCATACTATAAACAGTAGCACATGAAAGTACTGCTCAATAGCTCTCATTTGAATGATCATGCACACTCTAGGATTTGATGTACAGGCTTAAAAGTTAGTAGCTCCTTGTATAGCATAATAAACAGTACTAAAAACGGGATTATTGGATAATACAGTTCAACAGGCTGGCTTAGCCATCATGGTATCTGAGCAATTTAATAAAACAATTTTCCACTCGCGCTTGTTGAATATGAGATGATCAGCATGCAACGGTCAGTGTTTTCATTTTTGCAGGAAATAATAAACCATATCCGCGGTACTTCGCACAGTGCCGCGTACGCCTCCTTCATGTCACCCCCAGTGGTCATGCAAATATTGTCATCCATGAAAATAATTATGGCCGAGGACGGCACAAACAAAGGTTGGTCAAATTCACACTCCACGCATTCTTCGGAGCCTACATTTCGCTTTTCTTTTCGCCTCCTTTTTCTCCTGAAGTCTTCATTCTTACTGGTAAGCAACACTTGTGAAAAGGTTACAGTAACACGCACGCCCAGTAAGTCTGTACTTTCCACAACATTCTCGTATCAATGGCCGCGATCCTTGTAGTTAAATTCGAGGTGCAAAATCCGCGATCAACGGACTTTCGACGCAGACTCGGAGAATATTCCGCTCAAATCTGATTGGCTGGTGAATAAGAATGAGCACTCTGAGCTAACTCAAAAACTGGGGTTCGGATTCTTGGTGCCGGCCAGAAGGATCGCGGCCTTCGGGGACGAGAATGCAGTGCTGCTCGCATTACGAGAGCAGGTCGATTAGAACCAAGAATAAGGGTATTAATATGATGTTTACATTATGCAATCTTCATAGTATTTTCATTTATTATTTTGTTATGCTGTTGGTACTTTCTTTCACCGTATTTGTTATTGGGGTAGAAAATATTCCACTGGAATCCGGTGAGGTTTTTTTTTTGAAGCTACAGCAAGGGCTTAAGGATCGCGTCTGAAGTTGTCTTTTTAATTTTTTTTTAGGAAAGCAGAGGCTATGCACTTTAGCACAGAATTGCAAGTAAGTGGAAGTATAAAATTCTAATGATTTAATTTAGTTCAGAGTTCGTATGTACTAGCTTAAAGAATTTTAAAAACTATTGCACGTTGCCTCGGGCGAGTTTGCATCAAACCTGAACGTGAGGTGCGGTCATGTGGGAAAAGATCTGTTTCCTTCTCAGAAAACTTTGCAACAGTGATCCTAACTACGGTACAACTTTTGAGGTAACGCGCTGTTTTCTGTACATTACAGGTACTTCAGACAAAGGCTTAAAAAGATGGGATTTATTGTGCACGG